ATTGAAAAATTAATTTGAAACCGCTTTCAAATTGATTCAGTTTTTGTTGGAAAGTCCATGCTCAATATATGCAGTTATTTTGTTCTTTTGGCTTTTAAAGTATACAGAGTGTTTTAAAGCAGAACCGAAAATAACCGGTGGTTTGGTATAAAATATTAGATTACATATCAACTATGTATAAGGCAGATACAGCGTTGAGAAGATGGCAAAAAGCTGAAGTGGTTAATTTTTTCTTTGAAATAATTTAAGGAAAGTTTGTGCAAAATTTCCGCCAAGGAAAGACGTTGGTGACTTTTTTTAACTTTTGAAAATAATTGGAACGTACTCTAGTGAAGGGAAACTACCCCTTTCACTTTTCTTTACTGCACTTCATAACTTCTATAACGACTAGAAAAAAAAATAATTCGCGTACTTTTTTAAGAATTATTGCTAGTGATTAAATTGCTTTTGTTCAGTGTTTTGCTAGAACGTATAAACCGAAACATTCTTGAGCGTTCGGATGCAACTGGCAGTAATAAATCAGTGAGATGACAATCGCGGTCACCAGATTTAACGCCAGTTGATTTATTTTTCCAGCCCACTAAATGCATTTTGTTTAAAAAGACCAAGAGCGCAAAGAATGATCGAAATAACACATCGCTTTTATCATGTTTGGTATTGAATATGTTTCTATTACCAATTTTTATCTATTATATATTATATTCTCATGTAGATTGTACTGCTCCAAATGCCATTTGAATGGACAAAATCATAATGGGGATCTGTTGAACATTTAATGTTAAGTTAGAACTTTCCACATTCGTTAAGCCAATAATGATTATAACACATAAACTCCTAGCCATGGATAATTCCTAGAGAAGTGTCGGTTAGGTTGTGTTCAATCGACCTAATGCGAAAAGGTCTATTGTTTGCTTTTAGAATGATTCAAGTTTTTCGTTTAATTTAATTAATACTTCTTTCGCAGATCTATATTTTAGGCGGCGCTTTGTGTTTGTTGAATAGTGTAAAACTTGTGTTTAAAATGTGGTAAACCTGACATGTTTCCTCTAAAAATCAGGAAAAGTGAAAAGAATAATTTGTGTAATTAGTCCTAGAAGAATTGACAAATAAAGCATTTTGCATATCAAGCTGACACTCTGTATAGTTGGTTGATCTGGTTGTTCACATCGATAAATGCAACAACTTTTGCATTAACCCACAGGAAATAAAGCGATTTCAGCGAAATCGTAGTGAATAATAGCGATTTTCCAACCATGAAATCATCGATTTATCAAATCAATTTTTCACAATCGTTCTAAAGTCAAAATCAATATTCTCATCTCGATCTTTTTATCTCTTGGCACATTAGCATTTCCTATAGAAAGGTTTTCCCTCGAAGGCCGCGCCGATGGGAAAGTATATAAAACGAGATAACAAACTCTATCTTCGTGCGTGAATACGTAATGAGCGGTAAAACAAGACTCATTAGAACAACTATCGATCAGACAAGGTCATTAAACGAAGCTTGATCTAAATACAGATAAATATGGTGTGAACCAACACAACGAGCCATTAAAAAACCGGTATTTGTACAATGTTACAACTAGTGCCAATATTCCATGTAATTTGGGCGATTTTCTCTCAACTCGTTAACGTTTCATTGATCTTACATTGAAGCAGTCAATCAATTATTTTTATAATTTATTTGATTGTAACTTTCTTGCACACACAACCCCGCATTATGACTCACTTTCTTAAGATATTTTTATAAATGAATGAAAAGATGTGAGAGCATTACACGAACAACAAATACAAATAAGAAAAAGACTTTCTTTAGTACAACTGTTACAAGTATTTGTCATTGTCGACGCATACATTAAGAGTATTTAGACAATGCTTGCGTTGTAATTTCATTCTTGCTAGGGTTTTTTTTTTATTAATAATATAGCGCCAGTATGCCACGCCCTGGTCTCGGCAACCATTCTTGTGATTACAAAATTGCAAGGTCAGTTTTGTGTAAAACTTAATCCCCGATCTGAGCCAATAATTTAAACCGGTGCTATCGAAGGCAAATTATACCTTTATCACAACTAAACTCGACTAGACTTGTTTTCCTCTCCTTGAGTATAGTTGCTGTCTTTTTTTTAATTGCCTGTTAAGGAATAATGGAAGTTGGGTGCACAATTAATCGCAGAGAGAGAAGTTAAATGTATTTCTGCAATTTTTAAATCGAACTTATTGCTGGCTCTGCAATCAGCCAGTGTCGGCCGGCCATGCATTTACATCGCTTTTTCGGTAATCGAAAATTTGCATTAACGTAATTATTATTGTCCGCCAAAGATAAATTATTTTGTTTATGGGCTCAATAAATAATATCCATTAATCGAGTTCAATGTCAAACATTGATGCCATTCGAATGATTGATTATTAGATATTTTGCGAAAATGACGTGCGAATTTTTTTCACATTCGCATAAAGATAATAAAAGCAATGAGGCAATCAATAAGCAGTAATCATGCTATTGAGGTGCGATTGTCTGAAGCGCGATCTAATGTTCTCAAAATATTTACAGGTCGATAATTCTTTGATTACTTTATCCATGATGCTTATACTTCATAATAGTTTCAAACAAACACCAATTTTCGGTGTTTTTGAGGTAAAATTAATTAGTTTAATCAAGAATCATTAAAGATTTGTTGAGAAATACTTCCTGAGATTCGCCAGCCAGGAGTCGCTTCCTTCTTCAGCTGTGTTTCAACCCTAAAGTGTTTTATTTTCACTTTTAAGCCCGATTTTGCAAAACATTCTATCGTGGAGAAACTGGGTGAACGTACCCATTAAACATATCGCAAATATTTTCATGCAGAAAAATTCGGAAAGGTAAAAATTTAAAATTGAATGCAGAACTATCGAAGGTTCGTTGGTTTTTTCCATAAAAACTATTTTACGTTCCTCGAAAGGTCCTTTCGATTTTGAATCCGAAGATTTGAAATATGGTGTATAATTGCATAGTGCTAGCCTGAAATCGGTCCTGTAGAATGTTTTAATTACCTGCATTCAATGCGCCCTATTTACAACTCTTTTACTCATAATTGCATTTAGAAAGGTTTTATATTAATAGGAAATTAAAATTAATCTGACAAAGTCAAAGTCCATTGGAACGAGGCCCCAGCCGTGTAACCGGCGTCTTTCGCTGGCGCCGGATAAACACAATCGCCTATTCATACATGTAATCATAATTACCAGATAAGTTAATAAATAATAGTGATTCCATAAATACCCAGGCGGAGTTATTTTTATAACTAATGGG